TTAAGTGGTGGCAGAGCCATGCAGGAATCTCATGAAGTAGGTCAAATTCTTAAAGTCAGCAACAGGGGAAAGAAGTACACTCGTCTTTCATAAACTCTTTCTTTTCCTTCCTTTTATAACCTGACATAAATCATGGAAAGCCAAAGGCAAAATTAAAGGCAGTAAAACATTTTCCAGTAGTTCACCTTATCTCCAGGAAATGAGGCTTATTAACTGTTTCCCAGATGTACTTAATATAGCTTAAAACAACAGAGCTTTGGCTTTAAAATGTGGCATAATAACTTCACAGTGGGCTGCTCAAACCCCAAGGCCACCCGCACTTGAGGGCTCCCGTCCTTCCTTGTGTAGGTACCATGCAGAACCTGCTGAAATGCAGAATCTGGCAGGTTAGGAAAGGACAGCAGAGGAGGTCAAAGATGAGGGTCAGAGAAGGTGTCTTCTGTGCAGACACCATCAACACAAGTTATCACTGAGCTGTCATGCCAAGCGGCGCCTCCCCCAGAAACTGGCCCATCTGCGGTTAGGTCGTGTCTCCGTTAGACGCGGTGCCATCCCTCATACTTGCACTTGAGGGAATTGAGACCAACAACCACACACAAGACGGAGGGATCGCTTTACAGAAGCCGGTCCAGAAGCAGGAGGCATGTTTGAAGACTCCACCCGTGGAAAATATTAAGTGAACCTTCTGTGCCAGGAACAAACACAGGCCCAGAGGATAAAGATGAAGTGCTGGGCTCACAGTTCAGAGGAGAGTGAGGCTGTCTGTGTTTTCTAACTTGAAGACTTGTTTCCTTTTAAGAGTCCTGCAAGGAGAAGCTTTTACAAATATAATCACAAGCCTTCTATCAGGAGCGCCCACGGTGTCCTATGCCATGTCAGCACTCTTGGCCCACCATCCTCGCCATTCCACAGGCATCGCCAGGTCTGCGAGTCACCCCAACAGCTATGGCACAAAGTCATCAATATTTGCAGGAAGCATTTCCCAATTATGTCAATTATTTTTATGAACCTTGATTCTAGCTGCTGTCACTATAACTCTGGACATATTTCTAGATATCTGAGTATTTCACTTCAAGTATGGAGCTAATAAAACTTGCTTGTTCTGATATGGATTGCTTAAAAATGAAATAATGTGCTACAGACAGATGGCTCTTGTACATCCATGCACTCTCCCCAGAATATGAGCTCCTGCTCGTCCACACAGCAAACATTTACAAGAAGCAATGCTTCTGCCTCTGGAATTCCGCCACTGAGTCAACCAGTGGGTCAGAAAGCTGAATCAGATCCACGTGAGTCAGAACTCCTACTTGGGACCAAGTTTTACTGATAATTTCAGGGACACAGCCATCAGGAGGCATAAGAAAAGCAGGAGGACATCTGAGATGCCCTTTCAGCTCTTGGGGTCTCTCAGCAAGGCGCGGGGCTCGGTTCCGTGAGCAGGAGCCCATAGACTAAGGAACATCTCCATTTTATACCCCAGATAGCTATTGTACGGCTTGCATGACATTGCCTAGGAGGCTGGGCCTCACAGATCCACAGATCACAGATTCACTTATCACAGACAGTCCTAACCAGAGACGTACTGTTAGGGCACCACACGGGCAGTCTCTTCCCAGTAAATACGAGCCATTTTCCAGGAAGCCAGCTGCCACACATTAACAGACTATACTGGTTACCTGCCTTCACTGACAATTAACATTTTAGGGTCCTTTCTAACTCTTGCTCCCATTTTGGGATGATGCATTTCATTTCATTATTGTCTCTTCTAACTCAGAATGATTTCTCAGCTTTTCTTTGTCTCTCCTGACCTTGACTTTTTGAAAAGTACAGGTCAGTTCTTCTTGGAGGGAGGAAACAAAACTATTCCTATTTGCAGATGACATGATTGTTGACACAGGAAATCCCAAGGAATCTACCAAAACACCACCACCAACAGGAAGACAGGTCCAGGACTAACAGGCAAATACATCAAAGGCACAAGACACAACATCATCACAAAAATCCATCTCATCTCTTTATACTAACAGTGACCTTGTGGAAACACTATTAAAAACAGGGTGATGTACAATTTCTCTAAATGAAATGACTTACCAGGTATAACTTTTTAAAACATACAGAGTATATGTAAGTTGAAAGTTATAATATGCTGACAAAAGAAATCAAATATCAAAATAAATGGAAAGACAAATGTTCAGGGGTTGGAAGAGTCAACACAGTAAAAATGTCAATTTCCCCCAAGTTGATAAATAGATTTAATGCAGTTTCTATAAAAAGACCAAGAAGGACTTTTGAAGGTGCACAGCCTGGGATAAAGGAGCCTTGAGAAAAGGGAACACGTGGGGACCTGGCGCCCTTCACATCAGCCTCAAGGACCAGGATGGGCCAGAGACGGACTCGCCAGACACGCTCAGCTGATGCCTGATGACGCACAAAAGGAAGTCGAAGAGAAATGGCCCTTCCAACACACAGCTTGATCCGTGATCGCCCAATGCTGGCATTGGCCCTGAGTCCTTCCACAGGTAAGGGGCGAGGGACTGGTTCGTTCACACCGTGGAATCCTACCCAGCCCCAAAGAGCAATGAATAGAGGCTACAGCAATGGCCCGGGTGAATCCTGGATAATTATACTGAGGGATAAAGCCAGTCTTGAAGGTCATACACTGTGTGTTCCCATTTCATCACATTTTGAAATGACACAATTTGGAAAGTGGAGCACAGATTAGTGATTTTATAGGGACAGTCTATGAAATGAAAGGTAGACGACAACTTATTCTATGAGGCCATTATACACTTGACATCAAACATCAAACACAAAACATGAAAACTGTAGGCCAATCTTGTCCCAGAATCCAAGACAAAACATTAGCTAACTGAGCAATGTATAAAAGGGACAATAAATCATGGGCAATCTGAGTTGTTCTGAAGAACCATAGGTGGTCCTACAGCAGAAAGACCTCTGAATGTCATTCACCACATGTACAAATTAAAAAGGAAACAATGACACTCACAATAGATGTAGAAACATTTGATAAAATTTAACACTGATTCATGCTGAAAACATGAGCCGCTGAGCCTGACAGCGACCACCAATCAAAAACCAACGGCCAACATCACCCTCAACAGTGAGGTGCTTGGGATTCCTTCCCCAGGCAGCCGCCGCATGCTTGCAGGCAGACCTCAGACTCGCCCTGTGAAGGGAGATTAAGTGCACGTGTCACTAGGGCAAGAAGCCACCACGTCAGACGAGGGGTTGTCACCCAGCACTGGAAAGTGAGCGGCCAGGACATGGAAAGCCCTGGAGGCGTGGAGGAGGATGGGCAGCTCAGGCCGCTCTAAGTGAGCCACTGTGGGAAGCCTGCACCGTCACACGCCCACCCGTGCCTGCAGTGTCCGCACCAGCAGCGCCCTCAGGTGCACTGTGCACCCTGGGGGCGTGTCCCTTCGGGTCTATCAGCTGTGACAAGCCCTGGGTTCAAGAGCTGCCACAGGATCCCAGGCACTAAAACAGGTGATTCCACTTCACTCTCACCCCAAATGTGCAGAAACACAACTTTATTTCTCTAGCTGGATTCCGCAGAGCTACCAGGGACACCTCAACTCTGCAGAAAGACCACTGTTCTCGCTGCCACCTCAGTCACCGCTAGCTTAAAATGATCCTTTGGCATGAATGCTGGGCCAGCTTCTAGCTTCCACTTGGTCTGCTCAGCCAGGCGCTCCTCACCGACCCCTGCGGCTCCTGGGGCAGCAGGCACGTGAGGGGGGAACAGCACTCCAGCCAGCAGCCCTCAGCCCCTGGTGGGCATGGGTGATGCTGGTATACTGTGCCATCTGATCTCTCGGCAGGAGCCCCCTTACACTTCCTCCAGGCTGAAGAAAGAGAAGGCCTCCATAAAGCCCACCTGAGAGCATTAAATTCTCATTAAGGAGTCTTGCCCCATCCCTCTGATGTTTCTTCTGAAAGCCCATTGGGCTTTAATTAGAAAATCCTGTAGCTCTTTCTCACTGATTTGGTCTTTTCCCTAAAACCCCTGCTCTTCCCTCGTTTCACAGCCAGCTCTGTTTATTCGAAAGCCTTCTGTGCTGCAGGCATCACCAGTGACTGGAGGGCCAGAAGCCTAAGGCTGCAGACACTGCATGGCACCAGGTTTTCCCTACTGGTCATCAGACTTCTAGAGTATCCTTGGAATATAAATTTGCATTTTAAATGAAGAACTATTAATATTCAGTATACAAATGACTCTGAGAGCAGGTGCCCAGTGCCTTCAGGTACAATCTTGCATGATTACACAAAAAGCAATCCGCTCCTGAGAACTGACCCTGGGTCTGGAGCCTCGTCCACATCGTGACACCCCAGCCAGGGCCACTCAGCCCCCAGGACAGAGCTAGGCAAGACATACCTTGCTGTCCAAGCTAAGGGTCTTGGCCTAAATCCTAGAGCATGGAGACAATATTATGGAAAAGCCACTATCATTTGTAAAAAAGGTTAGAGGGGAAAAATAAAAATTGTAAAATAATAGAGCAAAGTTGTAACCATACTATGTATGAAGTTCATTACAGTATAATTCAGTGATTATACTGAAAAATATTTCATAATATTAATGAGCCTTCGATTTTAAAGTGGACTCGCAGATTGTAAAACATTTTAGAGGTATTTTTAGCAGAGACAATTTTCTTCCATAGACAATTACAATAACAAACCATACCACTGGGAGAATAAACCAAGTTAATAAACTTAAAATATCTTTTAAAATGATAGAAAGATTAAGTATTAAGCCAGAGATTTCACCCACACTTACAGAGTTCATTGATTTTCAGCAAAGACACCAATGAAACCCAATGGGAAAAGTAGTATTTTTAACAAGTGTTGCTAGAGCAGAGATACTTGTGTGGGGGAAAAAATGAAGCCTGACCAATACGCTCTGCACACCCCCGAATTAACTCAAGATGGGTGTGCAGGAAAGCACAAGAGTCTGGGTGCCTGGCCCATGAGGGCCTCTCCATGAGGGGGATGGGGCCAAGACTCATCCTGAGCTGCAGAAAGGGGGCAGGCTGCGCGGAACAAGTGCAGGCGCCTCATGTGTGACACCACAGCACTTTCTTGCTGGAGGCTCTGCCCTTGCCGAGTGTGAGGAGGCAGGCGGCCTCACCGGGGACCCCACCTGTCAAGGAACTGCAGCGATCCTCTAAGAGTGGGGCCCTCCATCCTACAGCCGCAGAGACCAGGACCGGCCGGCAGCCTGAGTGAGCCTGGAAGCTGACCGGCCGGCAGAGCCTCCGGCGAGGACACAGCCCGTCAGCCACCCAGGAGGGATCCTGAGCTGTGGACCCCCTGAGTCGCCAGTCTTGCCCACAGAAACTGTGAGGTAATAAATATGTGTTGTTTTAGACCATGAAGCTTTTACAAATACTGTTGTGGAGTGGTAAATGCTAATACAATGGATCTTAGACCTAAATACAAATAAAAACTACACTTCATGGAAGAAAACTCTGAGAATATCTTTGCAGCCCTGGATTGGCAGAGATTTCTGAGACAGGCTGCAGAAAGCACTAACCATAGAGTCAGAGTGGGATTTAACAAAAATTTAACGCCCACGTTCATTAAAGGATATTATCTTAATACAAATTGACAAGACACAGATTGGGGGGGCATATCTGCAATATATACATGTGACATACAATAGCATCCAGAATACATTTTTTAAAAGTTCTACAACTCAACAATAAAAAATAAATTAAAAGTAGGCCTATGAACACAGATAAAGTGCTCAGTATCACTCCTTATTAAAGAAATGTAAATTCAAACTACACTAAAACTACAATAGCTAAAAATAAGACTAATAAGACTGACTATGGCTGAGAATATGGAAGCACAGGAGCTCTGACAGCACAGGCGGCAAGAAAGAGGTGGAGGGCCAGCGGGGGTCCCCACCCTCACCCGCTGGGCTCCCACCTGCTCACTCAGGAGAAACAGGAGGTGTCCACACAGACAGCTGCTCCGACGCCCCGGTGCCTTTGCTGTGGTCACCACAGACTGGAAACGTCAGAAGCTCCTCAGCTGAGAAACAGGCAGACCGGGCTGCACCAGGCAGGGGGATCCTCCCCACATGAAGGAAAGAGGTGCCAGTATGCACTTCAAGTCACTGAGCCAGACCCCACCAAGGTGAAGAACCAGAAAGGACAAAACCAATGCTGATGGATGTGAATGCCCGTTACACTGGGCATGAATGTGGGGATGGTGGGAAGGGCATGTGGGCGACCCTGGGTGGGGGCAGCACTGGGTCCGGGGGCCTCACAGGTGCATCTGTCCACGCTCCTGAGCATGCCCCAGACCTCGGGCCTTTGCTGTGGGGCAACATGACCTCTACAGAAAGAAGAGAGTCAGTCACCCAGCAGGGTGCTTATGTTAACACTGCTGCAGGCAAACGGCAACCCCTGGGCTTCTTTTTTCTCCAATCCTGCCCTTTTAATCACTATTGAAAAAACACCTTTAATTTTGATTAAAAATGTCAAAGTATAGAAAAATATATTGCTGTCCCCTTCACATACTTAAAACATGGTCAGGAAGGAGGGCTATAAGTTAAAAAAAAGAGACTATTTTCATTGTCATGTTCTATGTTATATAATATTTTAGACTTAAAAATATTTTCACCACAGTGTAAAGTGGACACACACCTACTTCAGTGTTTATAGGAACTGTACCACCTATAAAACCTTTTTAACTTTATGGTATTTTTATAATTTCTAAAATCTATGAGTATTGGATAAATCATGCCCTTTTTCCCCATATGATTTAAAATGTTCTGGGTCCAAACAAGCATTTGGTCTGCATTTCATCAGAAACTGGTCTAAATTCCATCTTCCTTTTGAATTTCCCATCGCCCACAAACCAGCAGTAGCTTCCAGACGGCGAGCACTGTTCTCGCCGAAGAACTCTTCATTCTGAGGTGTGCGTCTGGGTCATCTCCACCCACAGGTTTCTCATGGCTGTTCCCACAGGTGACGTGAGGCCAAGGCCACATGGGCACACCACCCGCCAGTCATCAGTGCCCTCAAGGTCACTGGCCAACTACAGGCAGTCGGGTGCCCTGCTGGACTACTGAGTTCCAGAGCAACGTGGGGTTCCGGTCCTGGGAGCCTTGCTATGGAATGACAGATCCGGTATTCCTGGAAAAACAGCAGAAGTCAGTGGTTGAAACCCGGAGTGAGAGAGCTCATCAGGCAGGCAGCCAGCACACCACATCCCAGCAAGAGCCTCCCAGAGCGTGATCCGAACACTGATGATCCTGTGAAGAGCCAGAGTCCCAGCCTCTTCTATGGGTCTAGGGAAATGCAACATCTGGGATAGGGGTCCAAATACCTTCCTTTTTTCCAGAAACTCTCCAGTAGATTTTTATGCAAGTACAGTTTATGTACCGCAGCTTTCCAGCCCAAGTACATATTGCTCAGCTAAGATGAACCCAGTATTTGTCCAGAGCACATAAGCCATAAATCTATAGCCAAACAGGTTTTTCATTTTAACTACTGTTGGCAAAAGGGAAGTTGTTCACATTTTGAATCCGGGAATAAATTCTGCTACTAGACGTTCAAGTTGAAAATCTCGTGTGTTTCTCAGTGGAACACACGGTCTGCACGTGGAGGCTGCAGCCCGGACCGGCTGGATGGTCTACAACACAAACAGCACCGGCTTCAGGGCTTGGCTTCACTCCCTTCCTGTGAGGAAACCCTCCCAGCATGCAGAATCCCTGAGGTCAGCACCTTGTTTATGTTTCATCTTCTTAATGTGCCATGTGGTCAGGTCATCCTACAGCCCAATTTTTGGAGTATTATAGACAATTACCTGAACATTAAAATAACTATTGTGACAAAAGCAGGCTTCCTTTCCCCCTAGTTCATATTACTTTCAAATTTATGGCTTGGCTGTTGGCTTTGCTAGAATCTGCAGAACGCCTTCCAAGAGGAAGGTCCTCCAGATTTCTTAGGAGTGAGATTAGCTTTTATGCAGTAGGCATAATGGGAGTCAGGAAATATCTGGGAATGATATACTCTTCAGAACTAAATGTTACATATGAAAACACATATTTGAAAGCATTCAACAGTCAAAAAGATATTACTGCCACATCAATAAAAATAGACTACATATTGTCTCTCATAAAATGGAAACAAGCAACTTTTTAAAAATCCTGACTTAGAATTCAGTTCTAGTCCATAAATCTGAGGCAGAAAACATTGCCAGTCCCCATGACCCAGGACTCAGTCCTGGTCTCCACCCCAGCTTCTGCCTCTTCCGGTCCTAGTGCCTTCCAATCCTGCTTTTCTCCCAGGAGCCATCCTGGTCCTCAGTGGCGGCATTTATGATTTCTCCCTGTTGTTCTCACACAGGTCCTTGGGGATGCGGGGCAGGTGATCCACAACAAGGGATCTGACATTGGGGCCACGGAATTCAGGGCTCAGCTTGCCCACCCAACCACCGGGTTTGTTCAATCATTTAAGTTCTTCATTCTCACCTTCCTTAATCTGAAGATAATTAAGTACCCACCTAGATATTTGGTTCATTTATTTTTTTACTTCTTTAATTTACATATGTATTTGGTGCTTTAAATTTTCCTCCAAGAACTGCTTTAGTTGAATCCCAGGGACACTGAAATATCATGCTAATAATGAAATAACTCTCACGTGCTGCCTCACGATGAGATTGTGGGTGCCACTAGGAGCACGGGCTGCAGGGAGGGTGCTGCACTAGGGCTACCCAATGTGTGGACTATCTGCAGGCACTGCTCGTGCAATATGCTGGAGCTACAGAACAGCCAAATGGAGTCGTCATACTGCTGCCTGGGCTGGATCACAGTGCCACCTTTCCTTATGAAGAAGACACGAACTTGGATTATCACTTGCATCTATCTTCAACTGCTCCTATTGCATCCTCTGGTTAAAGCTAAAGGAATCTGCAGGAACTGTGCCACTAATGATGTGAAAGACGTTACTAAATTGGTGGCAAATCTTCAAAGGACTATAAGATAACCTTCAAATATGTCCCCAGGATGGATGTTTTGGTATGTAAACTGTACACTTCTGAGTTTCATAGTAGATGATAAAAGAAATAGGATCATTTGTATTGAGACGGGAAATTATCTGCCATTTAAGAGTTTGCTAATTGTCATGATTTGACGAAGGTATCTTTGGAATTTGACTTGCATAGTGTTTTGCCCCCCTCAAACAACTGTTAAACTTTAGTTACAGGTGAACATTTCAGCACGTATCTTATATCTGTATTGCCAAAGTAAAAAATACCATCTTCCTTAAAGCTAGCCAGTTTTTTTCTTTTTCCTCAGCCTCCCCCCAAAAAGGCTTGAGTGTAAAATTATGTAAACTCTTTTATATACATCTTTCCTATTCAAGGAAACAAAATGTTTTATCTCAGGATTTGTTAGCAGTGCCATAGATTCTTAGAACCTTAGAAAAATTGAAACCAAGAAATCTGTTTTTCTCATTACACAATATCAGAATTCAGACTCAAGTATTTTGAGCAAACAAAACAATGGAAGCCTGTGTACCCACTACATAGCATGTCAAACCTTGCCATTGTACAGTATTTCCTTCAGATATATTTTGATAATGAAATATTATAAATAAACTAACACCCATCCAGAGAATTAAAGGTGGTGGCATGAGAGGTGAGACAGAAACCTCCTCCCAAAACCACATATAATACGAAAATATACCAAATACATCAAATCCTGAAAGAGCAACAGGAAAGTAGGATGCGACAGACTGTCTAAACCTGGGGAAACCAGCAGACATCAAGGAAAAGGGCACCAGTGCTCATCACCTGCGACCCCCACCATCGCTCCAGGGGCTGAGCAGCTCCAGAGAGTAGAGCTTCTGGGCACTAGAGGGCACCACACACAAATTTGAAATATCAAAGGAACCTGGTTCAAACCAAAATGCTATAAACACCAGAAAGAGGACCAAGTGAAACTGAACTAATCAGTCTTCCCAAAACAGATTTCAAAATAAAAATCATAAGCATGCTCACAGAGCTACAGAAAAATATCCAAGAACTCAGGGAGGAATTCAGGAATGAGATACAAATGTTGAAGAAATACAAAATCTGAAATGAAACATACAATGGAGGGATTTAAAAGCAGATTAGATGAAGTAGAGGAGATAGTAAATGAAACAGAAATTAGAGAACAGGAATACAAAGAAGCTGAGACAAAGAGAGAAAAAAGGATCTCTAGAAATCAAAGATTATTGAGAGAACTGTGTTACCAATCCAATCAGAACAATATTCGCATTATAGAGGGACCAGAAGAAGAAGACGGGAGGAAAAAAAGGGAAAGAAGTGTCTTTGACAGGGTAATTGCTGAAAACCTCCCCAGTCTGGGGAAGGAGATAATCTCTCAGGCCATGGAGGTGCACAGACCTCCCAACACAAGGGACCCAAGGAAGACAACACCAAGACATATAATAACTAAAATGGCAAAGATCAAGGATAAAGACAGAGTAGTAAAAGCAGCCAGAGAAATAAAAAAGATCACATACAAAGGAAAACCCATTAGTCTATCATCAGACTTCTCATCAGAAACCTTACAGGCCAGAAGGGAGTGGCATGATGTATTTAATGCAGTGAAGCAGAAGAGCCTCAACCAAGAATATTCTACCTGGCAAGGTTATCATTTAAATTTGAAGGAGGGATTAAACAATTCCCAAATACACAAAACCTGAGAGAATTTACCTCCCACACACCGTCTCTACAGTGTATTTTGGAAGGACTGCTATACTATAGAAGTATTCCTAAGGCTAAATAGCTATCATCAGAGTAAATAAAACCACAGTAAAGAAAGTAGACCAAGTAATTACTAAGCAGATGCAAAATCAAAAAACCACCCCCAAAGTCAGTCAAGGGATAAACAGTACAGAATATGACACCTAATATATAAAGAATGGAGGAGGAAGAAAAAGCGGGAGGTGGGGGAAGAACCTTTGGATAGTGTCATACTAAGTGAGTTAAATTAGACTGTTAGATAGTAAGGAAATTGCCCTTGAACCTTTGGTAACCATGAATTTAAAGCCTGCAATGGCAATAAGTACATATCTTTCAATAATCACCCTAAATGTAAATGGACTGAATGCACCAATCAAAAGACATAGAGTCACTGAATGGATAAAAAACAAGACCCGTCTATATACTGCCTACAAAAAACTCACTTTAAGCTCAAAGACATACACAGACTAAAAGTGAATGGATGGAAAAAGATATTTCATGCAACTAATAGGAAGAAAAAAGCAGGTGTTGCAGTACTTGTTTCAGACAAAATACACTTCAAAACAAAGAAAGTCACAAGAAACAAAGAAGGACATTACATAATGATAAAGGGATCAGTCCAACAAGAGGATATAACCATTATAATTACCTATGCACCCAACACAGGAGCACCTACATATGTGAAACAAGTACTAACAGAATTAAAGGGGGAAATGGAATGCAATGCATTCATTTTAGGAGACTTCAACACACTACTCACTCCAAAGGACAGATAAACAAGACAGAAAATAAGTAAGGAGACAGAGGCACTGAAAAACACATTAGAACACATGGACCTAACAGACATCTACAGAACACTCCACCGACAAGCAGCAGGATACACATTCTTCTCAAGTGCACATGGAACATTTTCAAGAATAGATCATACTCTAGGCCACAAAAAAAGCCTCAGTAAATTCAAAAAGATTGAAATTCTACCAATCAGCTTCCCAGATCACAAAGGTATAAAACTAGAAATAAATTATGCAAAGAAAATGAAAAAGCCCAAAAATACATGGAGGCTTAATTAACAACATAATCCTAAATAATCAATGGAACAATGACCAAATAAAAACAGATATCAAGCAATGTATGGAGACAAATGCTGCAAAATCTGTGGGACACAGTGAAGACCATGCTAAGAGGGAAGTATACTGTAAAACAGGTTTACCTCAGGAAAGAAGAACAATCCCATATGAACAGTCTAAACTTACAATTAATGAAACTAGAAAAATAAGAACAAAGAGGCCCAAAGTCAGTAGAAGGAGGGACATAATCAAGATTAGAGCCGAAATAAATAAAATTGAGAAGAATATAACAACAGAAAGAATCAATGAAAGCAGGAGCTGGTTCTTTGAGA